TTTTAAATGAGAATCGTGCCAGCTGTTCAGCTGATTTTAAGTGATAACCACCGCCCATTAGCAACACGCGAAGGCCTAGACTACCTAAGCCACCAGAAGAAACGCAGAATTATAACATTTCCAATTCACGTCTTCTGTGAGGTCTGGTACTAACCCGGACAGACCTGCCCATTCGTGACAATGAAGACTGTTGCATTGCCGTGCTACGTAAGAACTGCCTCTGTGACTATAAAATTGTAAAATAATATTCTGTTAATGCAAATGCTCTCTGGGTTCGTATGCACAACGAGATAAACTCAAATAGTCCCGTAAGAAATATAGTGTTTCACGCTCAATGTGCATGGCCAATGAGTTTGGTAATATTTTTTTTTTATTTAATTCGACTGAATGTAAACTAACACGATTCTAATTCAATCGTCAAGTGCGGCTATAGCCAATACTTTGTGTATTACATTTACTTATTTTTACCGACGAAGTATAACCTATTAATAATACCTTTCAAAATGCCATGGCTATTTAAATGTTTGTATAATTAACTTAGTGTCTAGGCTTGAAACAGAGTAATTAATGCATTACTAGGTCATAGAAGGTAATCAAACCGAAGAAGATTTATAAAGCTTGATGTTGTTGAAAATGAAAAGAATTTTCATTAAGAAAGTTTGAGAACACTCAGGACTATAGTTTATTCTTTAATTTTGTTCAAAACTACGTACTTCACACACAGAAATTGCATGATAAATCGTATAGTTTTATTCCTGGATTGCAATTAACAGTAATAATTTTCGTTCCATAATAAATTCTTAATTGATCATTCCATGTCGCACAGTCACAAGAATTAGGCGTGGTTGTAAATTCATATTTTAGACTCGCCCTTCGACATGTCATCGCTTTCAATGGCACAAAAATTTACATTATTCTTATGTTCGATGTCATGAACTGTCTGGTCCATTCAATCGTTTTAGTACGCATCTAATAGAGATAACATTGAAACTATTTTATTGAAAAATTAACAATCCATTATACTTCATCAGCCCTATTATTTATCTTATCATTTAATTAGTTTCAGAAAAAATTCTACAGAAAAACTTTACGAGATCTTAAAAAGTATCCTTCGTACACCCTATTTTTGTGGGTCTTCATCATTTTAATTTCAATCTATTGTAGAAATAAATAAAAGTTTATTCAAGTTGTAGCTTAGATGTTTACGTTTTAATTTAAAGTTTCAGTTTAAATCTAAAGTTTTCTTAAACAAATCTTACATTAGTTTACCAAGTACAAATTATTTTAAATTTTTGTGATGCTTCGTGTAATATAAAAACCGGGCAAGTGCAAGTCGGATTTGCGCACGAAGGGTTCCGTACCATTATCTATAAAAATGAAAAAAATCATGTCTGTTGTATGGGAGCCTCACTTAAATATTTTGTTAGTATATGTTGTTGTAACGGAAACAGAAATACATCAACTGGGAAAATTTCAACTGTGTACCTATCACGATTCATGAGATACAGCCTGGTGACAGACGGACAGACGCAGACAGACAGCGGAGTCTTAGTAATAGAATCCCCCGTTTTACATTTGGGTACGGAACTCTAAAAATACTTTTCAAATAAAATCGGCAACCTCTGCTATTGCATGAATTCACCAGGCTTCTAAAAAGGATAAGCCATAAACTATAAGAAAAACAAAAAAATATTTGAGTTTTCAAGTATTAGATATTCGAATAATCTTAGGCCAACTCAAACCAATCAAAACTTTTCTTTGGTAAAAGAACCTTGATTGGTCAGATGTCAATGACTGTGTATTTTCTCGAACTGGAATTCTGTTGAGGACGTACAGAAATAGCATTCAGTATACGAGCATATTGATTAAGCCTTCAAAACTAAAATTATTCTCGCATTTATAACAAGTGAATAATGCAACAATAAGTTATATTAAGATTGTGCAGACATTCTTTGAGAGTTCGCGAAGAAAATATAATTGTTTTTCTTTCCTTGTATTTCAGATAACATTTCCAGGTTTATAACATTGTCTCGTAATTACAGTGCCCGCTAAGTTCATTGTAGACACTTTGAATACTCTGAGGATTAATTAGTAACCGGGCAAATACTTTTTCATAGCAATGCCGTCCACAAGGGTTTGATTTCTATGTTTGTGGTTATCTTGTTTTATTTATTACTACCCTACACTACCAAATTAATGATAAGTAGTGATCCACCTCAATCACCAGACGAATCGCGAAAGTATTATACTTCCACTTTACGCCGGTCTTCTGTGAGGTCATGGTACTTACCAGGACGGGCCTGCCCATTCGTGCAACAGCCGAGGCTGCTGCGTAAGGAACCAAAAGCTCAGTCATGATCTCCCTCAAACGTTGACCAAAGATTATATATATATATATATATATATATATATATATATATATATATATATATATATATATATATATATTTGATACTTTATTAATTACTTCGTAAATACAAAATGAAACAGTGATTTAATTCCGGATGTGAAATGAAACTAACGATATGTAGTTAGGAGTATTAATCTCAGTGGAGTGTTAGGAGTATTAATGCGAGAATTTACTGTCCATCTTATCATTTTTGTTCGATAAACATGATAAGAATCAAGACAAATTCAATCAAAATCTGATAAAATTATATATTTCATTCCCAAATAAATATGTAATTCGCTCGTTCATAAAAAGCAACTACTTAACTTACATCTTTGTAAATTTTCATTTCAGCAGTCTCGCTGCGTGGCCCTACCACCGTACTATCAGCATACGTCCATATACTCGAAAGGAAAGAAGTCTCTGTTTATTATGTATACTGAATTAAGTATATCAGCTCTAACGATCATGTGCTCACGTAATATATCGAAGTAATTAGGATTACACATTTCACTTTGTATTTGAACTTACTTCCAACGATTGCTCGAAAAGATAAGTCGGTAATATTTTTGATAGTAAAACTACGCGAACAAGTCAACGATGTAAATAATTATATATGTTATAGCCTGTAACAAGTACACATTATGCAGACATAGGACAGAAATAATTTAAAGATTTTAATTAAACACTTCGAAGAAATAATTTTACCGTCGAGTTGAATACTTGAGATCTGGAGTTTCTTTGATGCGGAAAAGTGAAATAAATTCATTTCGTTAAAAATATCGAAGGCCGACTTCGTAGCGCGGCTGTAAGTGGCGAATGTTGGCAGACGACCCTCGTTCTGTTTTTCTATTACCAAAGATTATTCCTATGGAATAATTGTGTTCGAATATTCCAGAACTTTTCCCAATTTGAAAAAAATTAAAACCAAAATCAACAATATCTTCGGATCTCATTTAATTCTACAAGTTGACAAGGATTTCATTTATGTTAATACTTAGGGCCTAAAGTATGTTTAGATCACAAATATGTTGCTTCAACTAATATAAGCTTATATATTGTTCGAGGTGAATACTTGGCTTCGGTCTATCCATCGATATAATGTTATTGCATAGTTCCTCACGTGGAATTTGATTTGCCGGAGCGATACTTAATGAATACCACACTTTTTCAATTAATCTCACCAGAGCGTTTTTGTACATTGCTGTTATTGTGCCATCACTGTGTTCTTTAGCATAATTTATTAACATTAACATTAATTATTTTTTCAAAAGCTTCGTTGCTAAATCTGTTGGTTGGAAATATTTTTTTTGTATTTAAGATAGACTGGAAAGACATTACGTAAGTTAAACAACTATCAACCGTAATAAATTGCTGGAAGTCGCTTACATCCTTATTTACTAATATTGTAAACGCGAAAGTTTGTATGTATGGATGGATGTTCGTTACTCTTTCACGCAAATACTACTGAATAGATTATAATGAAACTCTACAATAATATAGCTTATACGTCAGAATAAGATATAGGCTATAATTTATATACATGTATATCTTATGTATATCTCACATATATTATGTATATCTGTCTTTCTGTCTGAATGTTACGCCTTCAGCCTATTCTGCGTACGCAGACGTAGTCGCGGGCAGCAGCTAGTCACTAATAATATTGAAATAAAACTGCTAATATGGCTGAAACAATATGTCTGCCCAGATTAGGTAGAAAGTGATATTTCTGTTGATCAATAAACGATATCCTCTCTAAAAATATACTTATGTACGTAACAAAATTAGACTTACAAACATTTTTAACACAGCATTACTTTCAAAAAACTAATGAAGAGTAGTTTTGAATCGAACCCGAAGAAGTACCAAGGCACGGTAAGTGACAGTAGAAGACTTTTCAAAGTTGGTAACGAATCTCTTCATACATAAAAAATCTTCTCAGCAACTGCGCTACCAATGTCTAACTTGTATTTTAAGAACAATATAAATACGTTAACATTTATCCTACAAAAGCCTTTTATCTGTAGAAGAGCTTCTCTAGCAAAAATTTTGTTATTAGACGCTATTACAGAGTATGATGTTTGTTATGAGTAAAAGTATAACTAAGTACAGAATAGACTATCGAGATTCTAGCATGAGTATCAGCGAATATTTTTAATTGTAATTAATGTAATGTAGTCTTTATATGTTTATAAAAAATTATATTATATTTATTAATTATATTACACTGACAAAAGAGAAGTTAGAAGTATGCTAGTTCTAATATTTAGATTTCAACGGAGAACAAATTTAGATACAATATAATCTTGTTTAAATGTATGAATTATAATTTTAATAATAAAAAAAAAAAGAAAACTTAAAATAAAAAAAAAATAAAAGATCTGTCATAAACTGCTGGATTTGTTTTTAGAATCATCATAGATGACAAACGACATCAACTACAGTACTTGATGTTCACAGCAGGCGAGATGATGAAATTGGCGTCGTAGTATTATTTAGCAAAGCAACAGCTTTAATCCGAAGCATAGCTTACGGAGGACATTGCGGTGAAGCGTTGCCTCTGAGGCGTCATCGACTCACCCGTAATAGACGGGGGCGAAGCTTATCAGTGGCCAGTTGCCTCGCAGCCTCCGTATCTGGCCCGCACAGAGTCCGAGCGAAGCCGGCACAGAGCAAATGCCGCGTCGACAGACGCATGCGTTCGCCCGCCGGCTTCAGTGCTGAAGAGTCGCTGAAACGGGGCGTACGCTTTCTCGCTCCTGAAACGGCACGCGACGCGTAAAACTTTCAGCTTACGGCTCGCGAATAAAGTTCTGCCCGGAACTCGAAAGGGTATCCTGTGCTGTAACGTTAAGTGCTGTGTTGTTTGTTGTTCCCCCGTGTTGGAAAGTTGTTTCGCCTTCTTCCCGATCCCCCTCGCTGAGTTTTGAGGGTCGTGTCTTAAAAGTTCCAGGTTCGTTCGCATGGAAATGTTTCTAACTCGTTTACTAGAAAGTTTTGGAGTTATTAGACTGACCTTTACTATTTATAGATTACTGGTTTTATTATTTTGCATTACGTTAATATTTTAGCTTCTTTATGAAAAATCTGATCTTATTTAGCGACCACGCTCAGAGATTTCGATTAGCACTCGACTTACTATTGCTGCGTTCATTTGGTAAGTTCATGCTTAAATAATACTACAACTAACAAAGGTCAAATAATCTCTATTGTAAGTCCCAGTCTAAGGGTGCAATTATAAATAAATATTAAAAATAAAAAGGATAAATAATCATTAAAGTCATTTCCAATCCTGATCGTCCTAATCATCAAAATTTTAAATTTATCTCAAAATTGAAAGCATTCATTGGCATCAATTAAATTTCAATAGCTTTTGCCATGAAACGCAATGAATGGAAAGAAGCTAGTAAATTATGAACATAGATTGCGTATTTTTACAACAATGATTTTTTTTTCTTATTATGTGAAAATATTTTCTTAAATCTCCTTCATATTCTTTTCATATGTACCTATATATTGGACAAATGTAAATGCATTATATATGTTATTGATTTATTTATCAGCTTAATTTCACCCCTTGTATGTTATTCTTATATATTGCTTTGTGTTGTACGCTCATTTATTTATATATTGGTAATGTTAATTTTAGTAATATGATAAATTGGTATTATTAGGTGTAATACCGCCTTTTGCTACTAACTACTGACTGTATAAAGTTATTTTTAAAGAATAGCAATAGCATAAAAAATATTTTTTATAATGCTATTCTCTGCACCTAACACGTAGTTTAAATTTTTTTAGATAAACGGACAAGATTTTCGCCGCCGCGAGAATTTGAACTTCCGCCCTGGATTTCTATAATATATATCTTAGATACGATCTATTAGTTAACTCTTATAATTCCACAGTCTTTCGACTATCGAACCATTAACTAATTTTATTAAAATTAATGAAATTAGTCATTGGATTTTTGTCATAGTTTATTTTAATTTTAACATCCCAACGTTCCGAATACTTTCCAGCAGTCTTAATTAAGGTGGAAACCAAATATTTTTCCAGCTGAAGGTAACCCGGATTAACAGTGATATTGGAGCATGACCATGAATGCTGTAGATAATTTATTGAATTATCTGAAGTCTATTCGGAAAAGTTCATCCAACAAACATAAAATAAACGGCAATAACATCTATTTTTGAATGGAAAAAGAAACGCTCAAGTGCGAGTCGAATCCGTTCGCTGAGGGTTCCGTACCTACCCATTATTCCGCCATTATAAAATTGCGTAATAAAAACGACCGGTTTTCTCAGGGTGGACTAAGCAAGTTGAAATTTATACCAGATACTGAGTATCCTCCATAGCCCCTATTAGGTGCAATATCCTGAGTCCACACGGACAATATTGTTAAAGACGATCATAGGAATGACTTAATCAAAAATAACTTATTGTTATAGGATATTAATTGTTTCGTAGCAAATATCCACGAATATAAAATAAATTATTACAAATGCTTACTTTTGAAAACTTATCAAACATATCATTCAAAATATTTAAAATATTTGCAATTGAAAATGATAATGAAAAAATATAAGAACTGACAAAAATTCTTTAATATTAACGATCGCTAGAAAAAGCTACACATTAACATTTAAGAGATTTGATGACTTCGTGGCGCAGTCGCCAAGGTATTGGCTTCGACGTCGGGGATCATGGGTTCGATTCCCACACGGACAACTATTTGTGTGACCCACAGATAGTTGCTTCGCATCTGGGTGTTTGTCCGCGTGACATTTATGTTTGTAAAACGTCTTTGCAACACGGGATAATGTTATCCTAAAGTAAGGGCAACGTTAAAAAAAAAACAGAAAAAGAAAACAACATCGCATAAAGGCACTTCGCGTTGTTCCAATTTCGTGAACTTCCTTATCGATATTACATGAAATTAGCCCGAACCACTTATAAACAAGGAATCGACGTTATTAAGTTAATTTGCTCAACACAAATCTTGCGGCAACGCAATTGCCGACACACCCAGAAATCACTCGGCACAGAAAATAGTCGACACGCAAGGAACGCTTTTACAGTGTGCTAACAGTTGTTGTGATAGCCTAATTCAAAATAACAAGTTTCTGGTCGGTGTACTGGCTTGTAATAGTCTCTTTTTATCTTTTTTTAATGTGAGAAAGTGGCAAACGAGCTGGCGGTTCACCTGATAGTGATAACCGCTTGCCCATCGACATTTGCAACACCCGTAGGGTTGCAGATGCGTTGCCACCTCTTAATAATGTGGGCCCCGGCTACCTCACTCACCAGACGAAACACAGAAGTGCAACATTTCTACTTTACGTCGGTCTTCTGTGAGGTCGTGGTACTAACCCGGACGGACCTGCATCTTCGAAATCTTACTTGCTTTTGTATTTATTATAATACTTGTATCTATTGCTTTTTCATTATGTTTATTATGTTGGTACTGTCAATAGATTACAATGTCTAACCACTGAAAAAGCTAAAATTTTTTCGGACAGGTTACATAAAAGGTTATAAAAACCACTAAATATGAGTGCAAAATAATCGAACGCATAAGGATAAAATGACATTATTTCGTAATAAAGCCCCAATCATAATATGAACAAAAATTAAATTAAATTATACGTTAACTTATGTACGCACATGAGTTTTACTTCTTGACCCGCTGAGCACCGCTTCACTTACCTTACAACATACCAATCAAAATATTAAATAGTTTTATATACTACATCCTGACAACTAAAATACTGCGGCGGGAACACAAATGGGGGGCAGTGATTGAAAATTAGTTGAAAGTCGCCGTGGTAGGGCCGCGCAGCAGCTTTGGCTGTTGCACGAATGGGCAGGTAAGTAACACGACCTCACAGAAGACCGGCGTGAAGTGGAACTATAATACTTTCGCGTTTCGTCTGGTGAGTGAGGTTGTCAATGCATCTGCAACCCTCGGGTGTAGCAGATGTCCAGCGGTATTCACTTAACAAAACAAGCAACTTTTCACATTAAAAAAAAAGTTTCACCCGCAAAGATTCGAACCTCGACCAAGGCTATAAGAAAACTAACGATCTTAGTACGTTAGCAGTCTTACGACCTTCGCCGCTACTTATCTCAGACAATGCTTCGGCGGCATTCCGTATTGATTACGAATTCTATCACGTACAGGAACTTGTTAGTAGAACCAACAACCGTTGAGAGGGTAAGGCTCTGAAGTGGTGAACGCTTAAACGAAAATGTAGTGTGGCTTCCCCCTCCACCCCCTCATAAAACAGTGGGCACAAGAAAGAAGAAAAGTAAACCAACTTAAACGTATATCTCTATCGATTTGATTTTTGAAATGAAAAATTCTCTGGGCGCGTTGAGCAATTTGTGGGTGAACAGAAATCATTAATAGCGTCATCGCCACCGAAGCAACTGGGATATTTATAATGTGTATATATTTGTACTTTTTGGGTGAAAAAAGGCATGAAACTCGCATCGTTGTCACCGAAAGCTTTCCATGAGCTATTTTTAAAAAAGGAATACGCAAAAATATATTTGTAGTTATGGATATGATATAAATACTGTTATTATAGTTCGGAGTGCCTTTAAAATATGTAGAATTAAATATTATACAATTTCAATTTTGACATTGTTTTATGTTTTCACTTCTGTCTGCAGCCCCCATGAGACTGCCTACATTTTTATTTTAAAAACATGAACTAATTTCTTAAGTGTACCTATTCTGAAGTTCGATAATGTTCGATAACGATTTGAAAAATCTTGCATAAGCCACACGCCAACGTGGGTGAATTTGGGAACCACATTACTGCCGACTCCGTATGGTTATAGATCTGAGAATGAAATAATAAAAATGTTATGCACAGACAACAATAAGACTGTTCGGAGTACGAACTATAACTCTGTTGTTACATTCGATGAAAACACTTCGTTCAATTACTGAAATAGTTTATTTTAATCTGTAAACCATATGAAAAACAACCGGCCAAGTGCGAGTAAGACTCGCGCACTAAGGATTCCGTAGCATTATCCACAAAAGAACGCCAAAAAATCGTATCTGTTGTATGGGAACCCCACTTAAATATTATTTTTTCCTTTTTATTAGTATTTGTTGTTATAGCTGCAAGAGATATACATTATCTGTGAAAATTACAGTTGTCTTATTATTATGGTTCGTGACTTCGTGAGATAAGGCCTGGTTATAGACGGACCAACACACACACATACAGATAGACAGCGGAGTCTTAGTAATAGGGTCCCATTTTAGCCTTTGGATACGGAACCCTAAACCAGAGATATTTGAGAAGAAGAAGAGGAAGAAGAAACTATCATTCACGGTCCAAGCACAATAGATACATAGAACACTTAAAAATAATAATGTAACTACACATTAGGTAAAATAATATTAGAAAAATTTAAAATAAATGTAAACATAACAAAAAAAAATTAAAATAAATGAAGGTCTGTGTAGCAGCACAAGATCGTGAAACGGACGGGACTCGGTAAAAGTCGAGATACAGTATCTAAGATTCGTGCGTAAGATTTGGTAACTTTTGAGCTTGTTATATGTAACGTAACCGGACAACCATCTTGAGTATCGTAGCCTAATATCTCGAATTACAAACAACAAGCTCTGCACGTATATGTAAATATAAGCTTACAGTGCTTCTGTGCAGTATTTACTAAGCCGATGGCTATCTTCAATTTCCTTTCGCGATGTTCTGTATCGTACTTTAAAGAAACCGTTTCGTTCGATGCTATTCGTGTCCGTCTTAAATGAAAATTCTGTGTTATTATTTCAACTACTCGTATTACTTGAGTTTATTTACTTATCAATTTTATACTTTTATGAATATAAATAAGTCAAAGAAAAAAATATATGAGACCGCGGAGTTTCTTGCCGGCTTTTCTCTAGCAAGTCTAATTTTGTGAACCGGTGGTAGTTTT